GAGATCAATATGGATTAGGGGCCCACGGTGTAGTTTACCCCTTTCTGCTCCCACAATTTAAATTAACCCCTATTAAGCTGCTATCAGCTGCAGATGGGAGATAAATGGGTACACGTTGGGTTTTCCATTTCACAGCTTATAGCAGCTTTTTTTTTAAGTAGGAGAAATGGCACAAGGGAGGAAGGTTTAACCCCCACCCTCCCTTGCTCTTGCCATGGACCAAATCTCACTTGGTCCCACGCCTACAGAGCTGCATTAAGCAATGAATATGATGTTGGGAGTAGGGGTGCCAGCACAATTTTGGAGTCCCAGGGCACTGCACACTTGGCTCCACCTGCAATCTATTAGCAGGAACCATGAAGCTGCCTGCCATGTATCCCTGAAACCCAAGTAACTAAGGTAGGGCTAAACCAAGGTTTGATCAAGAGTCTGCACTGGTGCCCCCACTTGTCTTTTCTCTCCAGGTTGTCATCACCCCATCATCTCCTCCTGCTGGCTGCTGCTCTTTGCCACCATACGGCCTCACTTCACTCACCCCCCTCCCTCTCCCCTGCTTACTTTTTCTGCTGCTATGTCAGCAGTGCTGTCTACCTCTCCTCCTTCCTCTGAAGAAGTTGCAGATTGGGGTTGGCCACTCCTTAGAGCAAAACATTCTGGTGAGTTGGTTGAAGGAGAATGCCTGTGACACTTTGCTGTGGCATCTTAAAACTTAGGTAATCACTCTGCCCAGAAGGCCTCCCTCTAAGAAAGGACCTCATTTTTTGGCCTCATGTGTAGCAGCACTGTTCTCCATGAAAGACTTCTGCAGGCCCAGGTTGGCAGCAAAGCAGACAGGGGGCCTGGGGATGCCAGCCCCCCCCCCCGCCCTATGCCACCAGTTTGGCCCTGGGTCAGACGTGAATATTTGCCCTAAGTTACAGTATATCCTATGGATTTATGCATGCTTATCTCCATGTTTCCTTTGCTATATTTACATGCAGGAGGGATTTACTTTACGCTCCTCCAAATCATACCCACATGTGTTCTCACACACAACCACACCTCCTGCTTCTGGGCAAATGAGCAACCACTGCCGCATGGGGGTCCTAGGAATATAACCGAAAGGTGTCTTAAATGCAGTTTTTATTTTCTTTTTAAAACTGATACACATCCCACTGGCGAGTTGTAACTGACCAGTGAGAAAGCTACTGAAAGACTATTTAACCTGGGCAACGAAGCCAGGCAGTTTGTATAAGCATTAGGAAGCAGTAACCACTCACGGACAGGACAGTGAAAATTCAAGTGCTAAGATGCAAGGGAAATGGTGGGAAGTGGGAGATTGCTTTAATATCATTACCTGCTCTTTGTGATATATTACAACACAAATATGACCCATGGTGAAATTTTCATTGTATGCGGAGAGGTCATACTTTCACCCTCTGCCTATTCCGTTGCACAACTTAGTACTCCCATTTGGGAGGAAGAGTCTGGCAACAAAGCCATCCTTCTTTGGGGCGGGGGCGGGGGGGGGGGAGCATGCATGCCACAGATCGGCTGAATTAAACAGTAGGAAAGAGGTCACCAGTGACTTTTGCAATCTACTGTCAGCATCCCTTTTGCAAAATTAAACGATCATCCCTTGTAAAAACTGTTTTATTTCTTCCTCCCCATCCTGCCATGTTCCATGGGCTCAAAAGACTCGGCTCTTCGCCTATTTCCCTATGCGCTCAGATGCCCTTTCTCAAACATTTCTAACTCATCAGCCAGTTTTAATTCCCTCCCTAAAGAATGCTGGAAGCTTGTATTCCCAATATAGTTTTGTAATAGAAAGTAAGATGTCCTTGCTTTTATAACTGAAGGTTTTGTCACTCTGTAAGGAGGCCCTGCTCCCGACTGCACCTTTCGCGTAACTTTATGCTCCGACCAGAGTTTCCTTTTCATATTGGTCCCTGTGAGCTGGAATATTATTATTCATTATATTTTTATTTATACCCTGCCTTTCCCCCGGACGGCTTACAGATGAAAACAAGAATTAGCAGCACACAAGGGAATTAAAACTAACCTGATGAAAAGCAATCCCAAGATTGCACACCCAAACAATCTGAAACCTCACAGAAAATTTTGTAGATCATCATTTGGAGCCTGCTCCCCTTCCACACTCAGTCTCTGCTACCAGCCCTTGAGGATTCATCCATCTCATTCTAGATTTTGGCCTCGTACTTCCTACTCTAAGCATGTGGTTGGGCTGCTCTGCCTCCTTGCATTGGTTTCCTTCCACAAAATATTTATCTAGGCTAGGGGCTTCCTAGACTATGAATTGCTTCTTCTTCTTGGGGAAGGGGGGAGGAGGGAGAACAGAAGGGGCAACCAAGTGAGATCAAGCTATGGTGGTGGTTGTCCCTCTATAGCACAAATCACCCGATAGATAGAAGCTACAACTGAAAAACAAAGGCACAAAGGGTGAAGGGTGCATGTGTTTTGACAGCTGGGGTACCTGCTTACTATGATTATTTGCAATGTGCCTTAATAAGTACAGGTGCCACTATACTGGGCTACACTTTTGTTGTTATCTCTTTTGTTTTTGTTGTTATTCTCTCCCAGAAGGGTGTGACACAGGTCTGGGCCTGGTGAGGGCCTGAATGGGAGACTGCTTGGCAACACTAAGGACATTGCCATGATGGAAGAAAGGTGGGGTATTAATAAATAAATCTACTTTATGTTTTAGAAAGTGGCTCATCTGTTCTCTATGAACTCTGACCTCTCTTAAGGTATTGTAACCAAATTTTGCATGATGGTTCCTGAGATAAAGGAGCACGTTTTTTGCCTAAGTCTGGATAATATTGGTTGTCATTTTGAAACAAGATGGTGGACTGCAGTTGTTGTTTTTAATGCACTGATTTAAACCAAATTTTGCATGATTATTCCGGAGGTTTCTGTCTATGAATACAACTGGATGTCATTTTGAATCAAGATGGCAGACTGAACCTTTCAAAACTGCACTGATTTGGGGATTTCTTAGAATTCCCAAGCAATGCTGGGCACAGGGCAGCTACTAATTATTATAAGCAGAAATCACCATATATTGTTCACCTATTACACCATGAACTTGATGAAGACATCCCACCAGCAACAGACATTATATCCCCCAGGTAAAGCTTGCCATACCAGTTTCTCTGCCAAAGAATCTGCACGGCTATCACAATCTTCTGTGCACTGGCATTGTGGTTTCCTGGACAAGTTCCAGGATGCACAATCTGTCTAGACATTGGAGATGTGAAGCCAGGTGGGTCTCCCACTTGCTCTACATAAGCTGAGCATGTGTTCCAGATTGCCTCCAAAGGTCTCCCCCACAGCAGCATACTGCCAAGAGGGATTGACAAGCTGTCTCTCAAGGATGTTTGTCTGACATTCCAGATCTGCTGACTGCAGAATGAAGTTTTCTTCTGAAGAATTTCAGAGGAACCCACATTGAGGGTGGGGCCTTCAACCTTCTTTCTCTAGGGGCTAAAGCAGCTTGAAGGCGTTACCATTTTCCACTTCAGCACCATCCTCAACATACTATCTGGTCCAACAGAACTGTGAGAAAGAGGATATTTGTCCTGTTATGCTCTCAAGGAAGCATGGTGTGTCCTTTTCTCATCCCCTCACCTCTGCAGGCCCACATAAGGATTATGTAGTCTTTCTATCAATAAATGTATGGGAAGTGGGGAAATGATAAGTCTTCAACCTGCTACTTCAATTACTCAAAAGCCTCGTTTGGTAGAAGATCATTAAGAAG